AATTGTCCTTGTTCCAATGCCTGTGACAGTAACTTCTGCAGATGAAATGAGCTCATATGCATATGATATGAGCCTGGCTCTGCTGCCTGCTCCTTCTCACCACAGTCTGGCTTTTCTGCGTTGTCTTCAAGGGAGATTGAACCTGGCTCCCAGTGGAATGGGTGGCTGCCTATTCCATCATCTCTATCCTCTTTGGAGCCATGGTATAGACCTAAGACGAATACTAATCCAGGCCTGGCTCCAGCAAGCTAGTTCTGGATTACCTTTTCTAACACCTTCTGCCAAACCCAAGTATATTGCCTCAAGCCTCTTGTCCCAAAAGGAGGAGGTAGGCTTCCTGTCTCTATCTGTTGGGTAAGCTCTCTGCCAGATTCAGGAAAATACACAAGCTTCAGACAGGTAGCAGCATCAGTGTTGACAGCGCACTGTGGCCAGGTGAGTCCCCTTCCATATCTGCAGGGCTCATGGTCGTGCCTTTCACAGTCAGGGTCGTGGTGGTCACCAGGCTGCTGTGAATGCACAGCAGAAGCAGAGCAATAGCAAAAGGAGCAGAAGAAATGACACAAAGAATCATCAGAGAGATGCCTGCTGAGAAGCACTCTTCTTTCATCTTGATTAAAGATCCTGCTCAGGGTAATCTGGGACTTTAGCATCTCCTGAGAGAATCTATGTAATCTGGATTGACTGCAAAAGGAAGTGAGCACCCTCACACAGGGCCTCACTCCTCAGCTGCTTCCCAAGTTAGCTCTGTTTTCTGCCATCTCCCAGTTCATATCCATGGCGAGATCTTGGGTTTAGTCTGTAAAGAGTTAGTGAATCATTTGTCAGCTACATCAGGATTTTCCTATCTACTTTCAATCCTCTGAGACTACTCTGTAGCTACAGGGTGCTGTTAACTAAACATGGCCAAAGACTCAGCTTGTAGCTGCAAGACATAAAGCATCCCTAGCTGGAAGTCTAGTTTTGGAATCAGTTGCCAGCAGGGACAAGAGTGAAATGTTCAGTCAAGAGGTTAAAACCTGCAGAATGGCAAGATGTTCCCTGCACACCCTAAAACCTCGCTAAGTGATAAATTCTCCCAGCTCTTCACTTCCTTCAATTCCTGGTTCCAAATTCACTGCTTTATTTCTTACACAAAGGAAAGAAGTGCTTCATCCATAATAAGAAGAGATTTATTGACAGGGCTGGGCTCAAGGTGTGTCAGGATGCAGATAATCGGGATCAGCCTGAGCTCCTTTTCCCTATTGTCTCTCTCACATTTGTCTTGCCTCGGCATCTTCTCTTGGGTGCACTAGCCAATATGAGCTTAGCTTTTTCCATTCCATTTGGCTTATGGTTCCTTCTTTTTCTCAAGCAGCTTCAGCCCCTAACTTGTTCTTCTCCAGCCTGTCATCTGCTACTATTATCCAGTCATACCCGTAGTACAGCTTAATCATAGTAATATATTATGCCTATGTGTGTGTTTCTCCCCTCCTCTGGGTATTTACAAGATACCTGTGAGTTGAAGAGCAGTCTGGAAGACTGCAGCTTGTTGGTAGATCATACAAAAGGATTTGACAGACAGAAGACATCTTTCCTTTATCCAGCTGGCAGCTTGTGATCTCTAAAAACAAAGTTTATTGCTAATTTATTGCTAACAGAAGAAACTATGGCATTCTAACATACTTTAAAAGGTAAAAATCGTTAGGTCCAAGTGTTAGATAACAAGGGCCTGATCGCAAACTGAGTAACAGAAGTTGAACATTGAGTAACTGGAAGTTTTCAACCAGTTTAGTGTGGATTAGCACTGAAAAATCCTGAAGGAAAGCTTTAAAAAACCCAACTCCTCCATACTCTTTGTTTGCTAAATTATTATTATTATTGAGCAGAATCATAAAATGGCAATTATTGGTTATTGTTCAGTAACTTACAGAATTATTTCCATAAATTCTTTGAGCTGCATTGAGATATCTGAAGACGCTGCATACAGAACTACAAAGCCAGAAGTTTAATGCCTTTCCTGCTTAGTAGTAGTAGCAGTATAATATTTTGGGACTTTAAAAAATGTATTTAATCTATATTCTGGATACCCTAAACAGTTCACACTTCCATAAAGGGAATCTTCAGGAAGATTTTGATTTAAGTCCTTTAGGCTCTGGTTGAAATGAGGGTATAAGCAGTAACCTGTGTTCCAGATTGTCAGCTTTGTTCCTGCTTTTTGAACTAGATTCCACAAGTACTTAAAACTCATTGTTAAAGCTTTGCTTCCTCCCATACATCTACTTTGAAGAAAGTCCTAAATCACCTCTGTCTTTAAAGGGTGGTTGGCCTCCTCTTTGCAACCTATGCAGAGAAACTCCACGTTTCCATCGATTAGATGAATTGCAACCCCTTTCTTCTCCAAGAAGACTTGATCTCCGGGTGGTGTTCTCCGGGCATGAAATATTTGAGCGTGGTGCAGAGGCAACCACCCCTTTCCTTTGGAACACCAACGGAAGGAAAGATTATCTTTTAACTTAGGACTCTTGTCCACGATGGTGGGAGGAGCCTGAGTGCAACTTCAGCTCTTGTTTTTCTAGGTGGAATGAACAGTACTTGGCAGGATAACTTGGAGATAATACTTCATGAGTGGAGAAAATTCACCACTACTTGCTTTAATTTGTGTCCTTTTGCACGCTTAGGTGTTTTCCTGCTCAGCCTTCTGATATTCGTAGGTCCGTTTGGAGGTTTATATACACGCAACATGTGCTGTGTGTGGAAAGATGAGGGCTTTGGGGGACAGGTGCCTACATTGCAGTGTGAATCTTAACGCATCGCGCTCATGGTGTGAATCACAGCCTCAAGCTCTAAAATGAAACATCAGTGGGTGTGTTGTGATTCTAGCATAAGCCACCACCATGGTTAGGCAAGATAAGCACACTCACTGTTGAATATTAACTCCCAGCTGCACAAAAGAAATAGCTTTTGTGAAATTCGTTGCTTTCCCTGATCCAAGTTTCCTCCTTAGATTGTTCCCTCTGCCATAAAGCCTTTGCTTCTTGTGCCAAGGAATGAGACTTATCTTCTAAAACCTTTAGCAAACTACCTGCGACGTTACAACATTAAAAATTAATAAACAAACTTACTCCACAGTTCCCTGGTTTCAAACTTTGCAGATTCAGAGTTCACTAAGAAGTCACTTCTCTTTTTCCTTTAAAAGAAGACAACCATATAGAATAATAGAGTTCTCTGTCTAGCATACAAACCCATCTGGAAAGAATTTAGTCTGCAATAATTGTGGGCATTTGATTTAGCTTTAAATCCCTGTAGGTAATTCAAATGTAAATTTATTGGGGTGAGCTTATCCCCAAACCAACCATTGGATCCAACATTTTAGAGATGAAATTGGCCCACTGCACTAAAACTACAGCCTGCATTGTTTCTGTTGCATCAGGATATTGTTACGTGCTGTAGTGCCTTGTCATTACAAGCAGACCTTTACTAGAAATAAAGTCAATAGAGACAATTTGGACAATCAGTTGAATCTCATTTATTTTTCAGACCATTAAAGATTAGCAATACTTTGGTTATGAATATGTTTATAGACTGGTATCTAAATCACCCAGACAACACCGGGCTAATTCATTATTTGGTTATTCTGTGCTCATCTGAGAGAGTCTTTTGGTGATGAAAAATTCTTTGCATTTCACATTCTGCTTCAGCAAAGAAGGGAGTTTGAAGAGCCATTCGGCACATACTGTAAACAATGCCATCTGTCTTTTTCTTTGTAAAATCTTCTTCGAGATAGCCCCGATATGCCTACTGTTTTCAATCACTTAAAAGGCAGTAATCCAATTAGATCATCCTCAATGTAGGAACCGCCATTGCTTTCAGTCCACTTCCAATCCTGACACAAGTAAATCACTTTGATAAGATCCCCTCGTTCTTCATTTTTTTTCTGAGGAGACCAGCATAAGTAATGACGCCAGTGATAGACCAAGGACAAAATGACCATAATGGGCTTTCTGTAGGAAAGGAAAACATGTGCCATTGTGATTTATTGTGTTCCTTGGAAAATGGGTTTCCTTGGAATTTCTGCAACAGCTACGGTCTCCAACCGAAGGGCATTAGCAGGTAGGAATGGCCAAATGGTAAAGTAAGTCAGACAAAACAGATTTAAACAGCTATCACTACCTAGATTTCTTAAATGGGAACAGAAGGTCAAAGCCATTTTGGAAACGTGCCTAGGTCGTGTTCCTCTTTGGTATAATGCCACCTACTTACATGGAAATGCGCAGGGAACGTGTAAAGTTGGACCTTCCTTACAAACTGCTATGGCTTATCGTGCAGATACGCCTTCCTTCTATTTAAAAATCGTTTGGGTGACTTCAGTGCTTTGTGCCACCGGCGAGGCAGGGGCCTGAAAGGCACATCTGACCTCCCAGAATAGACATGGCACGAGATCAGTAGTATCTGTGGACTTCCTGCTACATGAACTGGCCTCAACTCTGATGCTGAGAGAGCGTGGTTAGAGCTGAGCTGTCTCCGGATGCACCTACCTCTTGCCTGGTTTCAGATAAATGGGGGAGCACCACATGAGGTGGTCATGTGTGATGTGAAAGCCTGTTTGAAAGGAGCTGGACCACAGGTGTCTCTTTGAACCCAGAATGATCACTCATCACAAATAACCTTAGGTCTTGCTTGTTCAAATTCATGGAGAGTGCTGGTCTTGCACCCACTGTCTGAGGCCGAACACAGGAAATGCAATGGGAATTTCGCACTACTTTGCTGGAGAAGCGGTACCACGCAGGTAAGAAGTGATCAGCAATGACCACAGCCCAAGTTCAGCATTTCCAGTGACATGCTAAGAGGTAACCCTTCTGTTAAGTAATTTTGGAGAGTCTGTGTGAGAAAGCTGTGATCTGGGCAGGGAAAAGGCAGCACGTTCACTGTATTTAACCATATGAATCAAGAGGCTGTTCAGGATGTTTCAAGAGGCTGTTTAGGATGTTATTGATACAATAGGTTGTTTCCTTTCACAGAGAAAGCGTGGAGAGCCTTATCCAAAAGCATTCCTATGCCCGATCCCCCATTCGAACCTACGGAGGAGAAGATGATCTTGGAGATGACAGCCAGGCAACACAAAGTAGAGGTAGGAAAATGTGCTCATGAGGTAAACTGTGGTGACCTATTTATGGTTGGGAAAAGCAGGACCACAGTCAATACCGTGGTGCTCTGAAGCATTCCTCCGGTGTGTCTCTCTGCCATGAAGTCCTATAATATATAAGGAGAATACCTGTTACCACGCGGCTTTTCTGGACATCTTATATGCCCATGGTACTGGTGTGGGTGGCTAGCTCAGGAAGCACCTAGAGATGTCTTATACAGCCTTTGCCATCAGAAGAGAAACAGCTCTGCTTCCTCTTCAAGAAGGCTAAAAACCAGGCAACATCATCACCATGGTGCTGAAAACAAGCTAACACTCCCCATCCCTTAGCAGGACTTATAGCCGGGGCTCAGCACCGTTTGTAAAGTACCATGTAGGTGTGCCATTTGTTGCCTCTCCAGCAACAGAGGACTTGGTTATGAGCATCTTCAACCAGCCTGTGGTTAACCTGCTTTGCCTCTACAGGAAGAAAAGTCCATAGCTCCATGGAAAATTGATGTTTCGTTGTTATCTCTTGGTCTCTAAAAGGTGCCCTTCATGCTGCGGC